GTTTGATAATTCATCAAACTTTTTCTCTTCTGGAAGGGCAAAAGTTTGATGAATTATCAAACGCCAGCCCACCTTTATCTATCCTGAATGAGCAAATGGTACGAAAACCGATTGTCAAATACCTGGGTGTTATTTTTAATCATAACCTCACCTGGTCTGACGTTTTTTGAAGGTCAGGAGGCTCACTTTTTATGTTTTATGCCCTAAATCCCTTTCCATTCCAAACCATCTCATAAGGCGTTTTGTTTTTGCGTGCGTTTTGCCGCATTGGCTTTATGGGTCCCTTGTTATCTTCCCTGTCCTTTTGAACAAGGACCTCGAACTCATTTCCCGATCCCTCAGATTTCTCTCCGTTTGTAGTCTCATACCACGGGAACATCTAGTAGAGTTTGTGGTGACATATCACTTCAAGTCCCATAAAACATTCTCTAATACGATTTTATATCTTATCTTTGATATCTCCAATCCTCTTTATTCCTCTCTTAGCGACTCCTTTTCTCACTCATCCACCCGTTCCACTCACAAACTCATAAAGACTCGTACTGAAGCTTACAGGCGGTCTGTTGTTCCTTATCTCGCCAGATTTCTAACAAAGCAAGTCCTCGTTACGGGAAATCTGCGTCAAACACTACACTAAATCCCTCATGAACACTCAGGTGTGCCACTCGTTTTGGTTGTTGCTGTCCCTTTTCACATCCTTTTAATTGCTGTATCATACTATTGTGTTTTACGTATTTTCTGACACACTATGGTTATGTGATTGCTGAATATCCACCTGTCGGGGTGTATAAAGCCATTCCTTGACTTGACTTGACTTAAAATGACAGGGGAACAACTTGAAATAATCGCCAGACATCTTGAAATAATGATAAGCTAACTTAAAATGATTCCTGGACATCTTGAAATAAGCCGAGTATATCTTGATATAATTTTGGGATAACTTGACTTGCAAAAGGTTTAGTTCACTCATCAGTTTCAAGTCTGTGGTGGGAAGTAATCATCTGTCGCACTGACTTGGATAAGGAACTGTTGGCCGAGCGCCAAACTAAGGCTTCGCACTCGTTTAAAAACTTCTATTTTTGTGAAGAAAAAAGTCAACACTAGTATAAACAAACTTATAGTGGTGAAAGAAAACCGTATATTTTCACGAGTCCTGATCATGACCTTTCAGATCAGGCACAAGATAAAATGCTTTTCTGTTTAGGTAGGAATTCACCAAGCGTCGGGGGGAAAGGACTGTGTGTCACTTTTAGTGTATAACAGAACGGTTCGCAGGCTTGATGAGGAGGAAGTTTCTTCCGGCGATATCATCTGCATTCACTTGACCTTTTATCCCATTCACAATCAGCGAAGGCAGCTGCAGAGCTACCAACTGACTGTTTTCGCGCATGCAGACCAGGGGCTAGATATCAGATGGTGGTCGCATTCAAGCTGTGGCTGATCGATTAAGTGGGAATGGGCTGGGAATAGACAAACTCAATAGGATTATTCAGGTTAATTCTATGGCTACTGTCAACTTTATATGGTTATGGATCGAACCGGTTGTCACTAATTTGGAAAGTGAGACCGCATATATATCTTGGATCAGTTGACATTATTTAGAAGATACGTTGATTATATACTAATCATAGGGCAAGACCGACAACAAGTAACTGTTTTTTTTCGAGTCATGACCAGCTTGCACAAGGATGTATTTGTCATTGGAAGAGAAATAAGATCATCGTCTCGCGCTTTTAGACATTCGAATTACTGGGAGGCAAGAAGGCAAGACATGATAACGCAGGAGTGCATGGACGAGTCAATATCTACACTTCTGTGGTTTCGTACCAGTTAACTACAAGCGTTGTATAGTAAAACATATCCATCGAGCACGTCGTATTTGCACCGAGGTTAGCTTCGAAGCGGATTTAGAGCTGCTCCAATTAATTATTGTCGAGAACGGCGACCATGTCGGTCTTGTTAGGAAGTTCCGTGAAACAACGGAGCAAACACCAGCAGTATATGACGTCTCCAAGATGGTCTACATTTGCCTTCCCTTCAAAAGGGATCATACCAGCCTGATTTTCCAAGACCGATTGGAAAACGTGGTAAAATGCACTTAAAATGCTATCATCCCGATCGTCCTATACACCATCCCACGAATCCCACTCAACCCACAAAGCAAACCCTACCACCGTCCGCCAAATCACACGTCATTTGACAATTTGCATCTAGTTCATTGGTTTAACAGATTGGCAGTGGCGTACACGGACCTAGGAGCTCATATCATGTTGGGTTATACGCCGATTAACCGAATCATATGATCAAAGGTCATTCTTTAATTTTACACCTTAACCCCCCCAAACACACACGCATCGCTTACCACTAAAACACTCAATACTACTAAGCCAGTACCAACCCCACTCTTAGCCAAGGAAACCAAACATGCAAGCAGCCTATGTCATCAATCGCTCGACACTTGTTGATGAGGAATCATGGCCCGAACCCGACAAGCCGATTTAAGATCATTTATACCAACATCAACCCCCGGCTGTTAAGGTTTGGGAATCGGTTGCGATTAGAAAATCGAAACCCCGCCTGTGAGGGCAAAAAGAACTATCAGTCACATAATCACTGCCTTGACAGCGGTAAAAGTGTGACGATTCATTCGTGTCGTACTCGTCTGTAATCTGATGTACTGTTGAGCAATATAAACTGTATTTTTCTGCCTTATTGTACCAGTTGAGATGCAGCGAAGTCTGCTTTGGCATAAATCATGCAACCTAGCTTTGTTTTTCTCTCTCTCTAAGCTGCATAAACGTTTTCCATCAGAGGAACAGTGAAGATGATTGTGGACTCCGGCCAAATGTACAACCTACCTTTACAGACGAGTGATATCATTTTATTTCACTTCACCCCTCGTTGTATCAAATTAACTGTAGAAATGCAGGAAACGACTCGGGTGTGTTTCGTTTTAACAATTGGATGATGCATAAGCGCTCTCCGAGCTTTTTATTAAAGTAAAATGACCTGGATTGAATAAAGTATCTATTAGTGATGACAAGGCCGGTTAACCTGGTGATAATATCGGTTCAATAGAAAGCGTAATTATTTTGTTAACACAATGATTTGTACAAAAGTTGCACCATACCATTTCAACTTCAGTGGGTGGTGATCCCGTGGTAACGTCACCAAATTATTCCACTGGAGAACGTACTTTAGAATTTCACCACCACCACTGCCTGATTTTCCAATTATGTGTTGTATGGCAGCCCTCTGACCGATCGCTTCCTCGTCCTGAAACTTGTATGATTACGCATTCAATAAAAGAAAATAAAAATAAAAAAACGGCTGCTACGGTGAATAGAACGGGAATCTCTTGAACTCGACAAGTGTCTGATCGTCTTTTTTTCATTTCAGTTTTTTTCATCCTTTCATGGAACATTCAAAGATACTATTAGCAGAAAGAGAGAAGCGGTAAACCAAAGGGCTGTCATTACAACACAATGGAAAAGTCAGACGGTGGTGTTAGGACTCCAACACGCCGTCTACGGTGTTAATTTGACAACCAACAGGATATCACCGCCTCGGAGATTTTACAATAACAAACCATTCTGAACAGAGTGATTCGTCCTGGACACAACTAAAGCACTGGGTAAGTGAGTTACTGAACGTGAGTGAACGTTTCGGTCGGGTGGAAGTCGCCTCTGCGTGGGGCTCTTGGTTACTGACACAGTGAGGTTTAGGCGAGTACGAATGAACCCGGTAGTACTGAAACTAGGTCGATCAGAGCAAAAGTGAATTGCAAGAAAATAGTCAATAACCCCCCACTACCATCACCGTACTCAGGAGTAAATGAGAACACTAGCTGTGGTATGGGC